GGGGGGAGCTGCGCAGACAGCGGCGCGGCAGTGTGTGACGTCACACTAGTTTGCTTGTTTTCGGTTGGGGAGTTCTATCCACTAGTTCGGTTTTAGGTAGCAATTTTAACCAGAATAGGGGTTTGTTTTGGGGCGCTTACCTTTCTGGGTGCCTGTTCCGGTCGATGGCAGACATAGAATGCTTCCAACTACACGGGGGCTTCTATAGGCCATTGCTCCCCTTGCCTCTCTGAGGGGGCCCGGTTCTGGCCGTGGTCCCCGGTAGGCCTAAGAACTCCATACACATGACTGATGCCAAAGTCTGACATTAGCATATCAGCCTGGGATAGCTCCGGGGAGCCGACGGGGCTCCCCCCAGAAAAGGGGGACAAAGGGAACATCATTACAGATCAAGAGAGCAGAAGAATTAGGGGTCTCAGCAAAAACTTAAGAAGAGAGAAAGAAATAACAGAGGAAGCAACCAGGACTAAACATTGGCTCCTGGAGATACACAAAGTGGTGAAAACTGCATGATCAGAAGTTGGAGTTCATGGAAGTTCATAAAAACCACAAATATTCCATTTAAATAACAAGAGAAATCAAGGGCAAAGAAGAACACAGTATACTCGGTGGGATCAGTCTCAGTAAAATCAGGGTCAAGATTGGGATGGGTAAATCGAGCACAGACAACCGAGTCAAGGAGGCAGTAAGATGGGCCAGAGGGGAATGACAAGAGTCTGGAGTGAGAGGAGAGATCGCAGAGGGGCGGAAAAAGGAATCGGGGCGAGGAAGGACAGATGAAGGGAAGACTTTATCAGGGATCGGGCTCACTGGACCAATGGTATACTAAAGAAAATCCACGGCAAGTAGAGAAAAAAATTATTTTTAAATAACCCATCATTGAAGAACCACCGATATTGAGGACTGCCAGACTGCATAAACTAAATAAATGTTGACCTAAACCTATGATAAAGGCAAGGGCAAATCTTAATTTATGGAAGTGGGGAAACAAAGTAAGAATCAATCATCAATGTGTTTAGGGCTGTGAAATTTACATATTCCAACTGACACGGATGGGAATTTGGTCAAAGCTACAACTTTTCTCAGGAGTACATCAAGCAGTAGTGTGTGTTCACCGGTTATTTCCTATGTGACGTTGTGTAACATTGAAACTTACATACTGAACTTAATTTCTACGAATATAGAGAAGTTATTAATATCCTATAAACAAATCTTCTATAATTATCAATAAATAAAATTAACACAAAAGCACTCAATTCTGGTTTCATTTTTCCTTCAAGGTTAAATATTTTTACATTATTCATCACTTGTTAATTTCTTCATGATTTACACACACTTTACAATTCTGTACAATATACAATTTATTTTTTCACGCATACCACATATTACCAAACCTTATCTCTTGTGGATTTTGATTTTTGACTATTCCAAGAAGACATGGGAGTGAAGTAAGGTAAATAACTTATAATATTTGTTCTTATTCAAAATTAAGACTATACGGTAGAGCTCCCCCCCCCCCTCCTATTTCTCTAGGTGTAAAGTGGTTGATACAAAGGTCTCCACATTACACGTTAACTACTGTAGGTTTTTTAAAGTTTGAGCTACTCAGCAATATTAGCAACCACTCGCCGCTTATGCATTAGTTTTGATCACAAACAAAATAACATGAATCTGCATTTCCCACGTGCAGATAATTGGGGAAAAAATTTAAAATTGAGGGAACAATTTGTAAACAAATATGCAATATAATTAAATACTAACACATTAAATGAAATAATTTTTTTTTGTTCTTGACATTGCACTTGACATTGAGTATTTTAAAATACATTTGGTTGCTTAATTAATCAAGCTTAAATATATCAAAATAATGACAGTTCCTATTATACTGACACTTGTTCATTCTAGCTAATAATTAATGCTAAATGTTTTTCTTTAAGATTCATGCCCATAACAGACAAATTTCAGTTTTGATGGTAAACACAAGTTCCTACTCTAACTGTATTAGAAAATTATGTTGTTATAAGTCGCAATTATAACAGTTATATAAGTAACTTATATAAGAAAATAATAAGAAAATACAATTATATAAGAAAATGATATAATACAATCCCAATTACATGTATATTGTTGTTGTAAGTCACAATAACGTGGCGGAAAATTAGACATTTAGACCCAAATGTCTGAAAATAAAGGAAGTGATAACCTTTTGGTCTGTTCTAGACCATTACCAGGTGTGCCGTGGACCATTACCAGGTGTGTCCTGGACCATTACCAGGTGTGTCCTGAACCATTACCAGGTGTGTCCTGAACCATTACCAGGTGTGTCCTGAACCATTACCAGGTGTGTCCTGGACCATTACCAGGTGTGTCCTGGACCATTACCAGGTGTGTCCTGGACCATTACCAAATGTGTTCTGGACCATTACCAGGTGTGTCCTGGACCATTACCAGGTGTGTCCTGGACCATTACCAGGTGTGTCCTGGACCATTACCAGGTGTGTCCTGAACCATTACCAGGTGTGTCCTGGACCATTACCAGGTGTGTCCTGGACCATTACCAGGTGTGTCCTGGACCATTACCAGGTGTGTCCTGGACCATTACCAGGTGTGTTCTGGACCATTACCCTAAGTGCCTGACATTAAACTTATTGTTTGCTAACTGACTGGTTGCGACTGAAAGCTTGATTGACTGTGAATGCCTGAGAGACTGACCGTAAATGTTTAACCAGTTGCTACTACAACTGTGAATGCATGACTGCCTTTGGTTATGACTGCCTGTGACTTGTCTTGACTGACATGTTATGACTAACAGACTGGTTCTGACTGACTGCCACATAACAGAGGCGGTGATATGTGTGAATGGAAAATCTGAACCCAGTGATGCAGATATGAAAGCGTTTAAGGCGAGCAGGAAATGGTCTCACCACCACCTCCTTCCTCCTCACCCTCCCCATACACCAACACCACCACTCCTTCCCTTCTCACTGTCTCCCATACGCCAACAAGAATCCTCAGTAAAAGGTAAAGTACAGGTAAATGTTCAGTAAAGTTAATATTTGTGGGTGTGGGTGTGTGTGTGTAATTACCTAAGTGTAGTTACAGGATGAGAGCTACGCTCGTGGTGTCCCGTCTTCCCAGCACTCTTTGTCATATAACGCTTTGAAACTATTGACGGTCTTGGCCTCTACCACCTTCTCACCTAACTTGTTCCAACCGTCTACCACTCTGTTTGCGAAAGTGAATTTTCTTATATTTCTTCGGCATCTGTGTTTAGCTAGTTTATATCTATGACCTCTTGTTCTTAAAGTTCCAGGTCTCAGGAAATCTTCCCTATCGATTTTATCAATTCTTGTTACTATTTTGTATGTAGTGATCATATCACCTCTTTTTCTTCTGTCTTCTAGTTTTGGCATATTTAATGCCTCTAACCTCTCCTTGTAGCTCTTGCCCTTCAGTTCTGGGAGCCCCTTAGTAGCATGTCTTTGCACCTTTTCCAGTTTGTTGATGTGCTTCTTAAGACATGGGCATCACACAACCGCTGCATATTCTAGCTTTGGCCTAACAAAAGTAGTGAACAATTTCTTTACTATATCGCCATCCATGTTTTTAAAAGCAATTCTGAAGTTAGAAAGCGTGGCATAGGCTCCCCGCACAACGTTCTTTATGTGGTCCTCAAGTGATAGTTTTCTATCTAGAACCACCCCTAGATCTCTTTATCAGAATTCTTTAAAGATTTCTCACATAATATATAGGTTGTGTGGGGTCTATGTTCTCCTATTCCACATTCCATAACATGTTATTTATTAATATTAAATTCCATTTGCCAAGTGGTGCTCCATATACTTATTTTGTCCAGGTCATCTTGAAGGGCATGACAATAATCTAAGTTTCTTATCCTTCCTATTATTTTAGCATCATCAGCAAACATGTTCATTTAATTCTGTATACCAACTGGTAGATCATTTATGTAGACAATAAACATCACTGGTGCAAGAACTGAACCCTGTGGTACTCCACTTGTGACATTTCTCCAGTCCGATACATTACGTCTGATTACTGCCCTCATTTTTCTATCAGTCAGAAAATTTTTCATCCATGTTAGAAGCTTACCTGTCACCCCTCCAATATTTTCCAGTTTCCAGAACAACCTCTTATGTGGAGCTCTGTCGAAAGCCTTTTTTAGGTCCAGATAGATGCAGTCAACCCAACCATCTCTTTCCTGTAAAATCTCTGTGGCTTGATCATAGAAACTGAGTAAATTCGATACACAAGATCTTCCAGAGCGAAAACCATACTGTCTGTCTGATATTATATCATTTCTCTCCAGGTGTTCTATCCATTTAGTTTTTATTAGTTTTTCCAATACTTTCACTATTACACTTGTCAATGATACAGATCTATAATTGATAGGGTCTTCCCTGCTGCCACTTTTAAAGATTGGAACTACTGTATGTTAACCTGTTTCCACACGTCTGCTATGACTCCTGTACACAGGGATGCCTGAAAGATCAGGTGAAGTGGAATGCTGAGCTCAGATGTACATTCTCTCAGAACCCATGGTGAAACGCCATCTGGGCCAACTGCTTTGTTCTTACTGAGCTCCTTTAGCAAGTTTTCCACTTCATCTCTAGACACCTCTATACTTTCTATGTTTTTCTCTGGAATTCTTATTGTGTCTGGTTCTCTGAAGATTTCAGAGAACCTTAATTGAGTGCCTGAATTTTTAATAGGTTTTTGGTGATAATCTATCAAGTCTAAATATGGGTCAACTAAATTATAAATTAAATTATAAATAAATTATTGCAATAATGCAGGTGAAAGGAAAATACATTGTACAGTTTATTCTGTAAAGCTAATATTTGAATTTAAAATTTAAAATTTGAAGTCTGTCAATAGACTTATTATATTAGCTAGTATTCAATCTGTATAACTTGCAAGAATGATTTCAATTGAATGACCTACTTTTGCCAAGTATATTTAGGTTTCAAATTTTCCTGATGGTAGATTTGTTTTTTTTATTACATGCCACACACATACAAAACATATTCAAGAAAATATACATAAGTACAGAATTATCCTATCAGAATTTATACATCATGTACATATATGGTAAGCAAGCACTTATAAATAAATTTTCACAAAAATTGCATAGAAATCTTCACTCTAGCTTCATTCACTCACTTTCTATATTTCTGTTAAGTGTTATGCAGTTTAATGTAAGAGTCTGATGCACCAATCTTATATGTTTCTTCACACACACCAAATATTAACTGACAAAGTATCACTCTTTCTTAACATGAACTACTGTTTATAATATATTTTGTTCTCTGTTGTGTTCAAATAATCTTTGCTTGGAACCAACAAACTATTTGACAAATTATACTGTATAATAAGGACAAGTTTCCTGAACAATCACTGACAGCATTGTGTCTTCACAACTAACTATCATGTTTGCCTAAAAATATTAATGTGCCAATGTTTCATCTTCTCAAATGCATCTAACAATGAAAATTGTTACCTAAACCATGATGCATATGCTTCGGATGTGCCTAAACCTAATGAAACTATTATTCTTGTACATAAAATAATGGGATTTCAAAGCATTAAGTAAGAACTGGCCATTAAAATTCAGTACAAAATAGCTAATGAATATAATATTGAATAGACATTATAAAACATTTCAATGAGAGTAGATTTAAAAACTGGCTCCCAAATTTAAAGTTCCTCGATCCAGCCCAAATGAAACGTTTGCCCTCACGTAAAAGATACTACCGCATATACCCTGCTTAAGTCAGGTTTAAAGTGTACTGACTTGTCTGTGGAGGTAAATTTCAGGTCCTGAGTTGAACTGGCTCTGTCTATCTGCAGTATCGGGATTCAATTAGTGTGGGCTGTTGAAGAGTTCAAGAAATTGTGATCAACACTAAATATATGTGATGTTTATGAGTCCACTTTATTACTTTTTGTTTTCCAATTCAATATCATTCATTTATAAAACTATATTTTCAGATAAAAGCCAATATATCTCCCAATTCCCCTATGGCTGACAACAAAATTTAATACATTTGTAACTAGATTAAAGATCATGCTAAACAAAGACACCCAAACAAATATTATAGCATCATTTCTAATTCTTCAGTGAGAAAATGGAACATATTTTGTTGCAAGTGAAAGTACATGAACATCAAGGCAGAGCTAATATCATTCAAGATAAGTACAGGATTCAAAATAAGTTTCCTGACCAATATATATACTTGTTGACCAAGTTGACCAAGGTCAACAATTAAGAAATATTAATATTTAGTGAACATTTTCCCAGGAGTCTCTGTATGAGGTTTCAACATCATACATCAGATAAATATCAAATATTTATGGTAATAAGCTTTGAACTTATATACAAGTATAATGCTATTTCTTGTCCATCAAGTAACATTGTGCTTAATGAAGCTCTGTTCTTTAAAATTGGACTACAGTAAATGAACAAATCCACAAGGGCCGTGACAAGGATTCGAACCTGCGCCCGGGAGCATCCCAGACACTGCCTTAATCGACTGAGCTAGACTGAATCCAGACTGAGTGTCTGGGATGCTCCCGGACGCAGGTTCGAATCCTCGTCACGGCCCTTGTGGATTTGTTCATTTGATGCATCACGTTAGTGTGATCTCTGTGTGTGGACTACAGTACTTATAAAACATACTAAATGGATAACAAAAATATGCTCTGCTAAGGAAGCAACAATCAGCTGCTTCTTTAAGTCATTTATATACATTATTACCAAAGATATAAGCAGCATATCTGCTCTTACACTCACAGATGCTTCCCTATAAGTAAAATAATAACTATTCCAGTAATTGGATCTTCAACTTCTGACAGATGATATAACCTGCTTAGGTGCTGCTATGACAACCACCAAGGATGTCATTGAGATGGAGGGATTGTTTTGGCATTCTGGCCCTTACCTAAATTGGGTCTCGAGCCAAACCATGACATCTTCCATTCTAGTGTCTCTCGCAGCAATTTCTCTTCTTCAGTGGTCATTTGAAGCAAAGTGGCAACAGCACGAGTCAGATGAACAGCCTAGAAAATATCAACAACTCATTGCAGAATGAGTATCTGACTACTGTTCTGATGCCAGTACAAGCAGGCGATGAGTCACAATAATGTGGCTAAAGTATGTTGACCAGACCACACACTAGAAGGTGAAGGGGCGACGACGTTTCGGTCCGTCCTGGACCATTCTCAAGATTGACTTGAGAATGGTCCAGGACAGACCGAAACGTCGTCGCCCCTTCACCTTCTAGTGTGTGGTCTGGTCAACATGCCAGTACAAAATATGTTAATCATACTCAAAGATATTCTTTCAAAAACAAATTTATTAAACCTACATGCATAATTACCAAACAAGCCAACTGATCCTTGACAAAGTATTTTTAAATCATAATTATCATGCTACAAACTATGTGCCCAATGATGTATTAACAATGTTAACTAAGGAAAATGATTACTGACCTCATACTCCCTAGACGTGAGATACTTTATGATGACATGCTTGAGATATGTGTGGTTCACATTCAAACCATTATCACTGCCATTAACAGCTGATAGTCCCATAGAAGAGCTATTTTCCGAGGAGTTTGCTGAAAATACCCAAAGATGATCAAAACGTTACACGTATTATGCATTAAACATTGTGAACTTGCTTACAAGAATAGAAATCTTGCATAAAGTTCAGCAAGTAAGTGACATCATTTATAATAAGTGTATAAGAGCAAGACTTGCACAGTACTATTACATTAAAAATTAAGTTAACTTTGTAAAGGTTTACAAAAGAACTAAAATCACAATTAAAGGACACCGAGTTCTAGAACTGCTAAATAATTTAGTTTACTTCACAAAGATTTTCTTCCTAACCATTGATAATGGGAGATGTATCTCGTGTCCTGGAGTCAACGCGAGGGTCTGCTGCACAATCTGGCGAGTCTGCCGTCAACTTGAGCTCTCTTTGTATGGTCTTCTTCATATCAGCTAGTCTTTGGCCTTGGACTTTTAGAGCCTAAAGAAACACTTCCATATTAGTCATAAAAACATCGTTTTGAGGGTAATGAAATGCCCCTTTCTGGGCGGTACCACAGTAGTTTCCTTTGCTTTAGGCACTGGCAAAAAAGTAGCTCCCAAGCTTAACAGGGAACATGTGCCATATTACCATCACACTTTCCTCCTCCCCAGAAAAGGGAGCAAGTGAGAATCAACAATCAATTCACTATCGAAGAGAATTACCCTAAAATTTTAGTTGCAAAATATCAGTAATGTGCTGTGATAATTTTTGGTAATTAGCTAACTACTATGTAAAGCTCTAAAAGCAATTGCAACACCTTTTGCAAAAACTACCTCTGCTCTCCAAGACCAAGCCCCTTAGAGCTCAAGCAAGTATGCCCCCCCCCCCCCCTTACATCAAGTCCAAGTACCCCAAGAGCTGAAGGATAGAAAAATAGTACAGGGCAGGAATGAGGCCTAACCCAGAAAAGTTTATTTCAATATACTCAATGCTTAATTTGGAATAAACTCCCCTTCCCTTAGTAGCTTCCTTTCCTTCCTCACTACAGAACCTCACTGGAGGACAAAATATTTTCTACATAAATGAGGTACTTAAACAAGGATCAATTAGTTTCTGAAAGAGCCCAGTTGGCTCCCTGAAGCTGTCATGCTGAGATTGCTCCATACTAAAAGGTCAAATCAATTGCAGAAGTTCTGTTTGTGGACCAGAGTCAGAATCTGCCCCTCCTCTCTCAAAGAGGCACAGGAAGCATGTGACAATCAAGCACCCCACTGGAAAAATCCTTCAAAATGTCAATGAAGCTTTACAGACAACTGGAGGGTTCACAGAATTCTAAGCCTCAAAACTGCCAAACCCTGCAAATGATTCAAACAGAACAAGATATTCACTCAAACTAGCTCAAAACTCGAGAGTAACGATTACCACCACCAAGTGGCCTGGCCCCAGCCGGGTTCCCATCTCAGTTCTGGAGCCGATGAACAACCCAATGAACAACTGACAAACCTGGAGGGAGGGGAGGGTAATATTCCTGGAACCACTGGGCTCCTCCAGAAAGAGGTGTTTCAATACATTCAACATTGGGTTTCTGGTGGGAGCCCCCTCGGTTGCCCTTCAACCTGTAGGATATGTAAAAAAAAACCAGCGTTGAATGTAATGAAACACTATTTTCTGGGTGAGACCCTGGAGGTGCCCCGGAGGCTCCCCAGAGCTATCCAGGCTGATATTGCCAATATTAGACTTTTGGCTTCATTCAGTGTGAATGGAGTTCTTAGACCTACCGGGGACCACGAGCCAGAACCTGGCCCCCTCAGAGAGGCACGAGGAGCAATGACCTATAGAAGCCCTCATGTAGTTGGAAGCATTCTATGTCTGCCATCGACTGGGTCAGGCACTCAGAAAGGAAAGCATCCCTAAACAAACCCCTATTCTGGGTAAGAAATTGCTACTGAGAGCCAAACTAGCGGACAGAACTCCCCAAACAAAAATGAGGAAACAATCATGACGTCACCACGTCACCGTCTGCGCAGCTTTCCCCACAGTCTCCTGGAGCAACAGCGGAATGGGGGGGGGGTACAGGAACTCCCACCTCGAGCAGTTCTGCCGGAAGGCTTCGATCCCGACAGCCTCGCAGTCGGGGAAGGGTGCCACATATACCGGAAGACGCCTCGACCATGCAGACGCGAAGAGGTCCACCTCTGGGTGCCCGAATGTCTGGCAGAGCCAACTGAAGAAGTCGGCGTCGACCGTTCATTTCGTGGACGAGAATGAACCGGGACACGCCGTCCGCCAGGATGTTGGACACTCCCTGGACATGAACCACCAGGAGAACCAAACCCCAAGAACTCGGCAAACGAGTCACCCTAAGCAACCAGCCCCAAAAAGCCAAGGACTGCATCGAACCCCCGCGGTTCAGACAATGAATCACAGGGAAGCAGTCCGACTGGAGCCGGATCGTCGATCTGCAAGCGACATGAACCCTCTGAAGCGAATGCCACACCCCCATGAACTCCCGCGCTGTGCTGTGAACCCGACAGAAGGAAGGACCCCACTGACTCTGGCCAGCCTGGTGAGCACAAAACCCCAGCTGAGAAACGAGGCATTCGTGAATGCATCGAGTGAGGGCTTGGTTAGGTGCCACTGCATTGCACCCCGAAAAACCCGAAGAGGAAGCTGGCGATGCAAGGCCCCTGGGGTCCGAACCTAGCTAGAGCAGCAGAAAGGACGTCATCGAAGGAAACAGAACAGCCGCCGAAGCCAGATCCGACCAGACTGAACGGGTAGCCCAGCACGGCGAAGTTCAGCACAGCTGCTCAAGCAACCAACAATTAACCTGGGTGCCCTCCAAAAACTGCCGAAGGCAGGACTGCAGCCACAGCAATGCCGCAGGAGAGAGAGACAAGGAAGCGGTCCAGGAATCCCATACAAGACCTAGCCAAGATTGAACCTGAGAGGGAACCATATGGGACTTCCTCCAGTTCACCAAGAACCCGAACCCAGGAAGCTGGGAAAGGACCAAATCCCTGGAGAGCAGACACGCGGACTGGCTGGGAGCCCAGACCAGCCAGTCGTCGAAAAAATCAAAACCTGAACCCCTAACAGACGCAAATTTGTCACCATGACCCGGGAAAGGCGTGTGAACACATGAGGTGCCAGATTCAAGCTGAATGGAAGGCAATGAAAGTGGTAAGCCTTCTGCCCCACGACAAAACTGAGCCAGTCCTTGAACCCCGGATGAATTGGGACGTGCCAATATGTATCCCGGAGGTCCAGGGACACCATCCAAGCGCCTGGCTCCAAAAGCAGCGGAACCTGGGACAGAGTCATCATCCGAAAGGAGGGGCAAAGTGGATTAATTTGAATGATAAATGTAGCTTTTTAACTGAAGTAGGAAACAGAACATTAGAGAGAATATAGAACACTATCATATCATAAAAGCCAGATACATACCTGTTTCTTTTCCAGCAATTCATCTTCCAGGTTCTTCACTGTCTCCCTTAACCCAGTTACCATTTCAGATTGTTCAATTTTATGCACAAGATCATCTTCGGAAATTTTTAGTTGATCTCTAAGAGCATCACACTCGTGTACAACTCCACTAAGTTCAACCTCCACTTTAATGATTTTTGATACACTCTTCTCATTCTCTTCCTTTAGTGATTTAACACTTTCATTCAATACATTAACTTTTTCCACATATTCATCTAAATTCTTAAAAAGCCTTGCTTTTTCACTGCTCACTGTATCCAGTTTACACTGAAGTTCTGATTTTGCCTTTTCTATAGTTTCTAGAGTAGTCCGCTCCTGATACAGTGTTTCGTGGAGGGATTTCTTTTCATTTTGTGCCAAAGTCAAGTCAGTTTGAGCTGTAGTCAAATTATCTTTAACCAATGTCATTTCAGTCTCTATTTCCATTAATTTTTCCTCTAGTGATGCAATATCTTCTAATTTACACTGAAGAACACTTGCACACGACTGATGTTTGATCTCTTCTGATGTCTGTAAAAAAAAAAGAAAAAAAAAAATTATATATTAATGAACGAGCCAAAAAAAAATAATAAAAAATAAATAAGTAAATAAATAAATACATGTAAAGCATGCATCTTATTTGGGAAGAATACCGAGCTTAATTTTGCTTAACTTTTAATCCTATTATTTTGTTTTTAACTAACTTGTGTTTCTTCAGTTAGAGGTGAAGATCTGATTCTACCAGTTAAAGGACCATTCCAATTGTGTACAAAGAAAATGGATAAAAAAAAAAAAAAAGTTAAACAGCTCTAAAACTACTTCAGCAATCTGGGAACACAAAAAAACCAGCGTTAAATGTAATGAAATGCCATTTTCTGGGTGAGACCCAGAGGCTCCCCAGGGATTATCCAGGCTGATATGCTAATGTCAGACTTTGGTATCAGTCATGTGTATGGAGTTCCGTGGGCCTACCGGGGACCACGAGCCAGAACCTGGCCCCCTCAGAGATGCACAGGGAGCAATGGCCTATAGAAACCCCCGTGTGGTTAGTAGCATTCTATGTCTGCCATCAACAGGGTCGGGCACCCAGAAAAGTAAGTGTCCCAAAACAAGCGACGAGCATGACATCACACGTCGTTGCACAGCTCTCCCCCCATCTTGGGAGGGAAAAAGGGGCTCCCTCTTCCCCCTCCCGGGGAGGAGGGAGCCGAGCAGATAGTGGCGCGGCAACGTGTGATGTCATGCTCGTTTGCTTGTTTCTTTTTGGGGAGTTCTATCCACTTGTTCGGCTTTTGGTAGCAATTTTCACCAGAATAGGGGTTTGTTTTGGGACACTTACTTTTCTGGGTGCCCGACCCGGTCGATGGCAGACATAGAATGCTTCCAACCACACGGGGGTTTCTATAGGCCATTGCTCCCCCATACCTCTCTGAGGGGGCCAAGTTCTGGCTCGTGGTCCCTGGTAGGCCCACAGAACTCCATACACATGACTGATGCCAAAGTCTGACATTAGCATATCAGCATGGATAAGCTCCGGGGAGCTGAAGGGGCTGAAGGGGCTGAAGGGGCTGAAGGGGCTTCCCCCCCCCCCCCCCAGAAAATAGGTTGGAATGTAACAAAATGCCTAATTATTGGTGAACCTCGGTGGCTCCCTGAAGCTATACATTGAGGAGGTTCCCATCTACAGTGGTTTGTTTTGACTTGCTGACTTTCTGGATGCTTTTCCCGGTGAGGTGGCAGAATGTCACTGCTCCGCGCCTCTGAGGTGGGCCAGGTTCTGGCTCTGGTCCCCGATAGTCCTATGTACTCAACGAGTGATGTGACCTGGTAGATAATAACCATCTCTGTGTATAGCTTTAGGGAGTCACAAGAGGCTCACCCCAGATAATGAAGGTAATCAGATGTCTAAGTGCATTTTTCATCATCCATTACAAAAAAATTCAGTGGCTGCCTGGGTCTAATATATGCACATCGTTTCCTACAATTTTTTTTTATTACTCATTATTGCATTCAGTGGCAAACACCATGGCCTGGAACTGGTATACACAACCAGCGAGGTCTCAGTTACCCATGAGGTGTCAGGAAGAGAGGGTGGATTATGCTCCCAAAAGAAGCTCTTCCCAGTTTCTCTTTTTGCCAAAATATACCAATTAGTTTTATTGAATATTCAAGATGTATATAGTGTGTCCTTGGTTGAATGAACTATATGGGGCAAAGTCGATTCGTTCCATAAGAGATTTTGTTTGACCAGTCAGCCCACAGCCTCCCTACCCCCATTTCCTAATAAGAAAAAAATAATCAAAGGGCCTACATCCACTATAATGCATATAAAGGTTTATGATTTACCTTACCAGGAGAGTAGAGTAGTAATATACTGCATATAGCATAAAAAAATAAGGGCATACAGCCAAGGATAGTGAGAATTGACAAATAATAAACAAAGGTGATTATCTTACAAGTTTCTCCTGTAAAGACTTTATTTGTTCATCTTTCTCTGAAGTTGTGTTGCTCAGCTGCCACCGAAGACTTTCCAAATCTTCGTTCGTCCGAGATATCTCTGCCTGCAGCCTTCTTTCTAATTCTATCTTCTCTGACTTCAGGGACATGTTATCATCCTTCAAGGCACTGATTTCTGATTGGAGAATTTCATTCCTTCCCTCAGCTTCTTGAAGATCAGACTGAAATTACACATCTATAATGTATGTATACAGGGTGGAAGTAGAAATATTCTACTTAAATTGTGTGGTGAAGATACCACATGCCAAAGCATAAACACAAGGTTAGTTATAAACCACAAACAAGTACACAAAGTTACAATGCATTGTCAAATTACCGAACTGAATAGATTGTTGAAACAAATTATCATGGCCTGATAACTGTGAATATATGGAGTAATAAAAAGTAGTTATAAGAGTAGATGTTGCATAAACATATTCAGTCAAATGTTTCACCTCAGGTTTCTCATAGTCAGGAAGCCTGTTAGGTTTATCGAAGTCCCCCCACTAGGCTAACTACCGACCATGTACCAGGAAGTGGTTCTGGGAGCGTTTCTACTCATGCCCGACAAGGCTAGGCTCGACCTGTGAGATCATGGTCCAACAGGCTATTACTTGGGACAGCAAGCAGGCCCACACATCCATTACAATCCAGATGGTCCTGCACCTATTCTAGAAAAAATTGGACAGTTTTCTGCAAGAAGTCAACCTTTTGTTCCAGCAATATTTCTTGTACAGTACTTGCTAGGAGAATATTGATCAACTGTGAACCTCTGATTGTGCCTATGGCATCTTTAGTCTTAAAAACATAAGAACAAAAGTAACTGCAGAAGGCCTATGGCCCATACTAGGCAGCTCCTATTTATAACCACCCAATCCCATTCATATACATGTCCAACCTATGCTTGAAACAATCGAGGGACCCCACCTCCATCACGTTACGCAGTAATTGGTTCCACAAATCAACAACCCTGTTACTGTTAGTATTTACCCAAGTCTTTCCTAAATCTAAACTTACCCAATTTATATCCATTGTTTCGTGTTCTATCTTGTGTTGATACTTTTAATACCCTATTAATATTCCCTTTGTTATGTCCAGTAATCCACTTGTAAACCTCTATCAAGTCACCCCTAGCTCTTCGCCTTTCCAATGAATGTAATTTAAGCTTTGTTAATCTTTCTTCATATGAATGATTTCTAATTTGGGGAATTAACTTTGTCATCCTACGCTGGACACGTTCAAGTGAATTTATATCCATTCTATAGTACAGTGACCAAAACTGAACTGCATAATCCAAATGGGGCCTAACCAGAGCAAGATATAGCTGAAGAACAACACCAGGTGTCTTGTTACTAACACTTCGATTAATAAATCCCGACCGGTTATCCCAGAGCTACCAAGCAAACAACTAAAAGCTGAACCCCTGCGATGTGTGCAAGCACGGGGACCTAGTGGAGGGCCACCAATATCCTACAAGTGGTCCTACCGCCACACCAGGCACACCCCCACCAGGCAAAACAAAACTAAAATAAAAGAAAACCCCTGCAAAAGCACGTCTCCAGGTGAACAAAACCGGTTGCTATGCATATATCAGACAGCTGCACAGTATTTCACACCCCAGCCAGTGACAAAACTATCTCCTACCCAAGGGCAAACAGGAGTAAGAACCTCCCCAGCTGAATCCCCAAGGGTGGGCAATCACCGAGCGGCAACAGAACCACATGGAGGTAGCTGATCCTGAACGGCTCATAGAAGACAACCCTGAGGCCACAAAGGCAGTACTTACGGGGCACCCAGGGAAGGTAGCCCTAGGTGCATGCAGCCCCAGTACTCTTGTGTTACTTCTAGCTCACACACCACCAAAACAGAGCAACAACACCGCACTGCGCAAAGAGTGGAGCCAGAGCGATCGACCGTCACCATCACAACAGCCTCTTGAACTGAGGAGAGTTGCCGGTGTAGAGGTCTGGAACCCTCCCGTCCCCCTCCTGGGGAAGGAAGGGTGCACAGACGGATGCGCGGTGGTTGTGGTGACATCATGTTTGTGGCCCTTGAGTGTTGTGAAGCGGCCAACTTCCTCCTGGGTCATCGGTCACAGCCAGTGTGGATGGGGTGCCAGTTTCACTTATGGATTATTGTTTGTTTATAATTTATTTAATTTCCTTAGATAGTTGTATTCCATTATTTTAATTTTATTTCTAGTATTCTATACTATGAAAGTCTCACTACTACTGATTGTTCATCACTGTATTAGCTCACTCACAGAGAGAAGTCTATACAGTACATTGCATCACCAGTGTTGGGCCAATGGCACCACACACTACTTCACTGCCAAGGGGAACTCGCTCTTATCTCACAATATAGTTCTCACTAGGTTAGGTGGTATTTTCTATCCCACAAGATGATTATAATCTTTGTGTTAGATGTTTTGACTTCAGTGGTTGCTTTACAGTTTCAATAGCACTATCACCTCACTATCATGATATTATATGACTGTGGGCAACCTTTCATGGCACCGTCATCATGCCCATATGTTAATAATCTTAACTATTAACTGTTTAATATTAACTATTTGATGCAATGTTCATCACGATACTTGTTTTTTTCTAATTGGTGTGTTACACTTCATAATATCACTAATCAATGTTTCATCTCTTTAGCACCGAAATGTCACAAGATATGGAACATTTTTCGAGGAGCATGGACACGTGTGTGTGTGTGTCATCCCTCTGGCTGCAACTCTCAACAGTTGTCTAACTCCTGGATACCTATTTTACTGCTAGGTGAACGGACATCAAGCGTAAGGAAACTTCTAAATACTTCTGCCCTGCTGGAGGAATGATGAAGATGATGAATACAAGGATGATAAAAATGCTGATGAAAATGAGGATGAGGATGATTGATGTGGAGAATGAACATGACTAGGATGATAAGGATTGATGATTAGGGGAGGATAAGAATGATGATGATAATGATAGAGTAAAGCATGTATGTACAAAGTACTGTATTCCTATAACAATTCAGTATTCACCTGATCTTCAGCAATCTTAGCATTAAGATGACGTATCTGATTCTCTAAAGCTGTGATTTTATCGCTCCAAGATGCTTTAATGTTGTTTAGCTGCTGTCTTGCTTCTTCCAAACAATGTTCCATATTCTCTCTCTGAAACAGTGAAAGAAAGTGCAATCTGTTAACTTTTTTTATTATACAGTACTTCCTGAATTCTGGCATTACACTTCGTAACCCAAATCATAGATATCTTGCTAACTTTGTATATTCTTCTTACTCTGGGAATGCTCATGTATAGTGTTCACATTAAGGAGCACAATCCAATTTATTACACAGAGTAATCACACTATGAGCGTATCAATGAGAAAATCCGTAGAAACCGTGATGAGGATTCGAATCTGCTCGGTGGGTGTTCCCAGGTACACACTCTAGACGACTAGACTACGACATGGTCAAAAGGATTGAGACCTTGGGTACGAATGCATCTATGAGGATTCCTCGAGGTTTATACTAAAGCCAAACCAGAGTTTCACACACAATCCCCCCCCATGCATTCTGGCTCTGTCATCTAGGAATGTTCTACCTCTGACGCTCCTCTTTCAATACACAAAAAGAGCGTGTGCCTTGGAATACCCAGTGCATAGGTTCGAATCTTCATCACGACTCCTACGGATTTTCTCATACTTCTGTCTTGTAACCTGTCGTCCAAAAATGATAATACTTATATAATTTTCAAATGATACAAGTATTTTCAAATGATAAATGACTGGTCAGATAAATAAAAATGCATTCTTGCAAAAGAAAAAATGAAATGTAACGAAATGCCTTTTTCTGAAAGGGTGGTTTCAGTAGCTTCCTGTTGCAAAGCACACTAAGATAGCTCTACAAATACAAGTCATATCAGCCCTTACTAGTCCTTTCATAGCCTAACAGAGACCAGACCCAAAAACCTGGCCTCCTCAGAGGCACACGGAGCAGGGAATTCTTGAGACCCTTCACTGAGGAAATAAATCCACAGAAAGGAAGTGAAGTACAAGAAACAAAAAGCCTCAGAAATGAAGTGAAGCAAAATAGGTAACTGCAAGGGTCACAAAGTAAACAATGCAGCAAATGACTGAAACAATCCACCCAGTACTTAGGTCATACTCCCATCTATTAACAGCTAGCCATTGCTGATAGCAGTGATGGCAGCTCATTGCTGTTGCTGATAGCAGTGATGGCAGCTCATTGCTGCTGCTGATGGCAGCTGCTGGCTCTCCATGGAAATAATCCTCAGGCCAGAACCCGAACAAAAGACCTACACCTTGTAGGGAGGGTTAGGGTCCAGGGAGCTGCCAAGGCCCTCTAGAAAGAACTGTTGTATTACACTGAACACTAGTTATTTGGAAGGGTTCAACAGTGGCTCCTTGTTGCTAACCACAGGAAAGAAAGACAGGACTCACTATGGAAGGAGAAGAACGAAGACCAAACCCCTGAAGGGTTGAGAATTGGATGGGAATCCCTACACACTGGGAAATACACTGACCAGGTAATGAGCTGCTAGGACCCTGTTAGACCTCCAAAAGCCCCAAGCCTAAAAATCAGTCAAAAAATTATAAAATACAGTGATCAATGTTGCAAAGTTCTGAATATCATGGGCTTGAAGGTAGACTGTAGACTTGATTGATTTTATGACATTGTGGACAGCCCTAGACAAATGAGCCTTGGAATAGAAGACTAAGGAGAAAAAATCAGCAAAAATGCCTCCTCCAAAGCAGCCTGGATCAGCCTTGATTACGAACAGCTGCAAATGCTCACAACAAAATGTCTCTCTCCAGCCGAATAAACAAAGAATCAATGACTAAAGTACGCTCGTTAGGATGCCAACTGCCACAGTCTTCACTAGAAAAGAACGAGAAGGCTGCAGACAAAGAACCCGATCACCAGGGATGAAAAAACCAAACCCCTGCTTCCAGAGGAAAGCATGAAGCTTCCCAACCCTACAAAGCCTTGAAAAAAGATTCATGGACTGAAGGGGCAACCAAGGACCGAGGCAATGAAAGAAAAACTAATACCCTAGACAGACATCAAGATGGCTCAAAGAGCAGAATGTGCTAACTGGGGATAAAAAAATAATATTGTACTGAAATGCCTTTTTTCATGAGTCCCAGTGGCTTCCTCAAGCTATAAGATGTCCTATCAGCTGCATAATTTTGTTTGGACTACCGGGAACCAGAGCCAGATCCTAGCTCCCAAATCACAAAGGCGCAAAGAGCAAGTGACACTCTGCTACCCCACCGGAAAAGCCTCCAAAAATTAGTGAACAAATATAGACTATTGCTGGGTTCAAAGAGACCAAAGCCATGAAACTGCTAAACAAACTCCCCCAGAAATAATATAAACAATCAAATCTCTTGAAAATAGCAAGAGCTTGTCAGCACTACCCACCTATGCCAGTTAGGGAAAGAGGTAGGAGCCAGGGCTTCAAGTTTCCCAAAGTCCTCCAAACCAGTTCTGGAGCAGATGCAAAGAAAAACACTCACCAACAAACCTTGATGTGAGGGAATCCAAAACTCACTGGGGCTCAACTAGAAAGTACAGTATTTCATATTTCATTGCATTCAATGCTGGTCTTTTTGGGGGAACTCCTGGTGGCTCCCTGACGGTAACAACTCAGTGAATGGAAAATCAGGGATTCACTAGAGAGGAGGATGGATTGAGCCATCCAGGTCTCTTGACAGGGTGTTATGGTTTCTCTCCTCATCTCTGCTTATGGTTAACCCTTTGGCTCGTGATTGTTTGAGACTTCTTAAGGGGAAGTTTTTGTTGAGGGTAGTTGTTCTTGTTGACTCTTGCCTCCAGCTGTTCTTCCTCTGGTGGCAGGGGTTCTGCTTCTTTGGCTGAGTGGGTGTTTTGTTTGCAGCCTTCTCCTTTCTTTCTGGCAAAGAATGAGTTAGGTTATTTTGAGAGGGATCCTCTAGTGATTGATGGTTTGGTTGGTTAGGCCAGAAGTGCATCATTTGTTGTCTGGTGGCAGCAGTTTGCCACCTGTGGGCCTCCAGTTCTGTCCCTGTGGATGCTTTGTTGGTTAAACCCTGTTTCCTGAGTTCCCTGTTCCACGGCTGTCAGTTTCCAAGTCACTTGCAGCCTGCCCAGCCAGCCTGCCTGTGGTCTACCCTCAGGCCCACAATGTTCTTAAGTATGCTGCTTTGGTGGCAGACTTTTTAAGCATGTCCTGGGATGATATTTGGGCTCCGGGGTTTTGGTGTTCTAACAGGGTACTGGCAGCCCGGTATCTGGTTAATATTCCTGGTCGGTCTTGCATTGCTTTTGATATGTTCAAGCCTGGTTTCTTTCATCTTAGTGTTTGCCACCTCTACTCCCAGGCAAGTCCCTTTTGTTTTCTCAATGGTTAGTTTCAGGAAGTCACCAAGAGGCTCCCCCAGAAACCTTGTGTTGAATGAAATGAAATGCCTCTTCCTGGTAGAGCCCAGGTGACTCCCTGCTACCCTCTCTCCCATCTAGGTTCATCAGTTTGTCGAGGAGTTGTTCATCAGCTTCTGAACTGACCTTGAGAACCAGCAACTGGTGAGGCCGGGCCACCTGGTGGCACCTATTGGTATTAACGATTGCACTAGTCACTGATTTCATACTTTTAATGAATTTGCTCTGATCATTGCCTTTCATGTTCATATAATTTAGGTTAATACATATTGTATTCATTTTAATACTGTATTCATTATGTACGTTTTGAGCCATTCTACTGTTCTGTGATTAATCTGTGGAGTTGTTTTATTGTTTGAGACTTCCTTTTCTATGAACCCTCCAATTGACTAATGCTTCACCAACTTTCTGAATGCTTTCCCTTTGGGGTATCAGATTATCACTTGCTCCTTGCACCTCTGTGAGCAGGCCAGGTTCTGGCTCTGATTCCCCAGTAGGCTAAAAGAGAAGACTCACAACTAAGTGACCAATTAGTAAGAAGCAATCCACTAGACAGCTTTAGGGAGTCATCAGAAAGACATTTCATTACCTTCAATCCTGGGATTTTTTAATTTTTCATATTTAGTTCAAGAGATGGCAGAGACAGGCAGCCTCTCAATTAGCTTTACATTCCAGTTACTCTCCCCACACCCGAACCCAAATAACGAAAAATGCACAAACCTCTTTTATAAGTGCCTGAACTTTGTCCGTTTCCTGGAGGGCCGTCTGTGAATGTCTCTGTTCCAGTGTTGTTACACGGTTCTGAAGGTGCTGGATTTCTTCACTCTTCGCTTCCTCAAGAGCTTTGTATCTGAAAGTAGTACAGGGTATTGTGAAATGTGTTAGTTATTTAATTAACACTTTCGTGCGGTGAAAAAAAATTAAATGGCAACAACCTTAAAACTTTAAACTGCGTAACACATCATATGATATGACGAGTATATGCCGCGGAATTGGTCACCACATCATATGATGTGAGGGTGTATAGTGCAAGATTTAAAAGTCTTGCCACTACACAGGGTTCACATCAACTTCCTCAGGGCTGTAGTAACCATCCTCAACATGAAAAAAAATCCTGAGTCCCTCACTTTCCTTCTAGGGCATTAGTAAGAAAATGATGACCATTGCTTGACAGCATCATCAGTTAGTGTCTGAACGCTTAGGGCAGCCATAGAAGAGACACTAAACTCTTAGCAACAGCAAATTGCACGATTACCATGTATAGATTTGAGGCAAAATGTGTGCTATATGCAATTTTAAGATTTAGGCTTATAATATATGTATACAAAATTGTTATGAATAAGTATGTGGGTGTCTGTATATCTATACTTGTATATCCATACATACATATATTTTCAAAGTTATACATAATAGACAGTACCTTTGACACACAAATACAACCCGTTAGCAAGAGTGGAGGTTCTCACATCCTCAGTGACCCATAAACTCTCATGATTTGAACAAAAGCAAATGATGTTTACTCTGTTGGTGGGATGGGGTACGTGAGATGGTGATGGAAGGAGGGTTGGAAGTGTTTAATATGGCTGTTGCACATGTATTTTCATATTAGTCATGTAATTAGATCACTTCACTCTTCTAACTTTAACAAGCAGGATAACTATCATTCACGGTAATTTATAAGATGTGCTTTTTTATATATCCCCAAAATATTGGTTTTGTGAGATTTTTTTGGTGATCTGGGAATACATAACCCTCTATTTATAGCATTGTGTCTATAGGAAACTGTTTTACATTCCAAACAAATGCTATACAAACACATTTTTAGAATGTAACCTGTTTGTAGTAGAGGGACTGCCTACATCAAAATCTGAACAATAGTAATTGTGCAATTTGCAAACGTTTAACTAGACTACACAAGCTTTTCAGGACAAAACAAATTAATCTTAATAATTAGAGAGACCAATCATAACTCCCCAAATAAAATAAGAAACAGAATAAAGAACTCACTTGGCATTAACAACATTCAGCTTTTGATTTAGACCAGCAATCTGAGTTTCTAACTCAGTTTTCTCTTCACTTAAAACACCAATACGTTCTTCTAAACCTGAGGCCCAACTCAGATGAGACTCGGCATTTGTAAGAGCCTCAGTTTTTCTTTTAAGTTCCGCCTGCACTTGCTCTAGTTCGCTATTGGTATTTAGTAACTGAAAATAAATGAATTATAGATGAGTTTTGATTGCAGCCTTCCCCTATATATATTTTAAAATAGAGAAACAGAGAATGAGGGAGTGGAGAAGTTGATGGACCAGTGTAACGGCATCATTAATGTGGTGAGGTAGGTGTGGGTTCACACCGTGGTAGTATGCTTACCTATCAGTAACTACAGGGGAATGAGATCTAGCTCTAAATGCCCTGACTTCTAGCCAGTGATATCTCACTATTGACTCCTCTCAGTATTAAAGTTTTCATTATATTTCCTTTTTAAAGTTGTAGCTTTTAACACCCTTTTCCTTCACTGCATTCCACTTTTCTAACCCACACAGGGAACGAGAAATTAATTACATCTCTTCGACTCTATTACAAATCCAGCTTCCACTGATGTCCCCTTATTCTACCTCTTTTTAATTTAAACTGGCTTCCTTTGCCAACTTCATCTATTCTACTCGAGATGTTGTATACAGTTATCCTATCTCCTCTGTTTTTTCTCTCCTTTAAGGTTGTGAGATTGTCCACATATGTGAGGCCTCTCAATTCTGGTACTAATCTAGTTGCAAACCTCTGAACTTTCCCTTCAGAATGTCTTATTGTCTTATTGTTCATCAGATACTCCTGTATCCAGCTCTGTTATCCCCACTTGTCTCTCTAACTAGTATAAAAGTCTTTTGTGATGGACTGTACCAAAAGCTTTCTGGCAATCTAGGAAGATGTAGTCTACCTATCCTGCCTTTTCTCGTCTTATTTTAGTGATCATGTCATAGAATTCAATCAAGTTTGTTATGCATGATTTTCCCTCTTTGAAGCTGTGCTATTCCTCTGTTATAACATTTACTCTCAAAATGTTCTACAATTCAATTTCCTGACTACCTTTTCTAATATCTTGCATAGAATGCATGTTAATGATACTGGTCTACAGTTTAGTTCATATTTTTCGCCTTTCTTGAATATCAGATCTATACATTTGCCTTTTTCCAGTTTTCTGGTAGCTCTCCCATCTCTAATATAATGTTGAACACCATAGTTAGTGAGTAACAGACCCTACAGCTTCCTTTAGTAACCATGGTTATATCTGGTTCTATTGCATTTGAAGCATCTAGTTCCATCAGGTATCTTTTTACCTCTTCTACATTAACTTTAATTCTGTATAATGTTGTTTCCAGTTATTGGTTGTCACCCCTTACTTGGACATCAATCCGGTTTAAGTTTATAGACCTCCTGGAACCTCTTGTTGAGTTTTTCTTTGTCATTCTCCAAAAGCATTTCTTTCTGCCCCTACAGTCTAACCACATGGTCTCGTACCATTATTTTCCTTCGTATATGGCTGTGCAAAAGCCTAGGTTGCCTCTTACTTTAACGTGATTCACAAACTGCTGTTTTGTTGCCATTCTGATTCTTATGTACTCATTCCTAGCCTTCTGTAGTGCCTCAGTATTTGCCTCTGTAACCATGTCCTTATACTTTTCCCATGCCTTATTTATTGTCTTTTTCTCCATACACTCCTGAACCATGGTTTGCTGCTGTTCTTTCATTTACTTCCCTCCTAAGAGGTATGAACTGTTCCCATTTTTTCTTTGCATTTCTGTGATGAAAGTTCTATCATATAATTTGCTAACTTTCCTTTCATTTCAGTCTCCCATTGAACCTCCTGCAGATAAAATCTTAAACCCTCCTATCATCCCCCTGTTCTGTATTCTCTCTTGCTCCTTATCCTGTTGAAAATGATTTTATTTCTACAATGCAAACAATAATACAGTGGTCACTTGCTCCCAGTGGTACCTCATATTTTAAATTATCCACATCATCTTCATTTTGGATAAAACTGGTAGCTGTAAATCACCTCCTCTAGTCAGCTCCTTGATATGATGACACAGGAAGTGTTCGTATTCAACTAGAGAATTCAGTTAAATCCCAGGTTGCACTGCTTTTCACCATGTTGTGGTGTAGTGGTTAAAGGTGCTTGGGAGCATAGGTTCGAATTCTCCTCATGGCTCCTACTGATTTTTTCATTTATAAATCATTTTAATGTGATTTCTTTGCACATTAAATACTAGTAATGCTATGCACAGTTATGTATACAACTGTACTCGCCCAGATGTGCTTGCAGGGGGTGGAGCTTCGGCTCTTTGGTCCCACCTCACAACAGTCAGTCAACCAGTGAACACATTCCTGAACCTATCAGGCTCTATCATATCTACATTTGAAACTGTATGTAGTCTGCATCCACCACATCACTATCTAATGCACTCCATTTGTTAATTACTCTGACACTGAAAAAGTTCTTTCTAATATCTCTGGCTCATTTGGGTACTAAGTTTCCACCTGTGTTCCATTTGTGTGCGCACCCAATGTTAAATAAATTGCCTTTATCTGTATAAATATAAATAACTACAAACAAAAAATGTACAAATATATACATGTATGCATTGGTATAGATTGATATACATATTTTTGTTGTGTATGTCATAAAATATAAACTAAATGCATTAGCCAAAGAATTTAGATATGCACGGGCAAATATTGACGTCTCATGTCAAAAATGCAAAGATTTTATTTATTTTTCCATTAATTTTTCTTTGTTGTTTGAAAAGCGATATTACTGAAACTTCACAGCAAAATTGAATGCACCAGATTCAACAGATGTACAAAGTTTGATGAGAATCAGCCAATATCTGCCCCTCCATTTAGTGGCACCAACTTTGAACTTCATTTACTTAAAAATGACTTTTTACAACTTTAAAATATATTATTGACTACTATTTCAAACCGATTCTCATGAATTTCACATATTATATGCAATGTATACAGCTCTGTCAGAATTCCTTGAAGTTTTTAATAAATACTGACCATGTGTTTGATCTTTGCCATCTCTTGTGCATTAAGCCCCTCCATCTGGTCATAGTTTTCTTGCATTTCACACACTCTTGTTTCAAGTCCTGTAGATAACAGTGTAATAATATTAATTTATATAAATAATGTACTCCATTATTGCTATCTGAAATTATCATACGTTTACAATAATAGTATTCTTCTTCATCAACCATTTAAACCATTAACTTGAATAAGTACCTCATTACAGTTAGCAAAATTATTTTTTTTGCTGAGGTACTTCGTTTTCAGCCCAATTCTCTTCTCGGGAATGAATAGGTATAAAGAATCCAGTGTTGAGTGTAATGAAATGTCTCTTACAGGTGGGTCACTGAGTAGCACGCCAATGCTACACACCTGAACACCAAGTCTTGGAAACACACCAGGATTCCGAGACACACAAGCACCTACCAGAGACCAGGATCAAAATCTGGCTCTCCTCAAAGAGGCTAAGGGAAGTCAAGGGATCTCTGAGATCACATGAGTGATCTCCACTAGAAAGTTGAGAAGCTGCTCACTCCTCAACTCGAAGTCGAGACAACTGGCTGCAGCCGCCGACCCAAAGCGACACAGGCCCAACTAGGCTCAGGAACATTCACTAGGTAAAAAGCAGCCAGGACCCTGTTCGACCGCCAAAAGCCCCGTGCCTAAATGTCAGCCCAGGACATGTTGCCAAAGATGGCAGCAAGAGCAGCGAACTTATGAACGTCATGGGCACCAGGATAAAGCGCAGGCTGGCTAGCCTTAATAACTGCGGATGACCTGGGAGACCCGCAACTACGAACATGGAAGAAGGGAAACCGGATCAACCCAAAGTGCATCCCCGGAAACAGAAGCCGTGGCGCGCAAATAACGGCCAAGAGCCGCAACTGGACACAAAACATGATGCACCCCCGGCCTGACCAACCAAGCATCAACAACCCAGGAACCCCTCCGGAAAGCAGCAGCCTCATTCTTCGCCAGAAAGGAGGAGACGGCTGCAAACGAACAAAACCATCATGAAGACCGAAGGAGCAGAAACCCCTGCGCCGGAGGAGAGCATGAAGCTACCCAACCCGATCCCAAGAGGCCAATGCCAACAGAAAAAGAGCCTTGGAGAAACAATCCTGAACCGAAGGGGCCACAACAAACCAAGGAGAAGAAAGAAAAGAGAGCACTCTGTCCAAAGACCAGGATGGCTCAGGCGGTGCATGAGCAGGCCGGAGGTGAAACAAAGCACGAGACAGCTTGCAAACGGCGCGGAAGTAACATCAATACTGAAAGCAAGTTGAAGTGGTTCCATCAGTGCCGCACGATACGAGGCGACAGTATTAGGCATAAAGTGATGGTCCTGGAACAACCAAGAGAGAAAGGACACCACCACCCTAAGAGAAAGCGAAGTACAACGACGAAGATGCAAGAAGAAACAGAAGGACCGCCAGGAAACTTCATACGGCCGCTGGGACGAAGCCCGCAGGTGAGACACTAATAAGGAAGCCACCTGATCACCATAGAGATGATGATAAACTTGAGTAAAAAATTCCATACGCGAAGACTCGAGGAGAAGATTGAACCAGCCACGTGACGTTCCAGTCTGATCTGCTGGAAGAGGCGGAGCCGCTGGAAAACCTCCGGGTTTGGACAGCGAGCAAGCAGCGTTAGAAACCACGGCTGGGCCGGCCACCACGGGGCCAAATGAACAACTCTCGCTTGGTAAGTCTCCAAGCAAGTCAGGACCTGGAGCAACAGCTAAACCGGGGGACAGAGGTACAGGAACTCCCACCTCGACCAGTCCTGCCAAAAGGCATCAACCCTGACAACCTCGCAGTCGGGAAAGGGCGCCACATACAGGAGAAGGCGCCGCGACCACACCGACGTGAAGAGGTCCACCTCTTTCTACGCAGGACTCGTAATTCTGTTCGCAGGACTCGTAATTCTGTGGCGCGGGTTCGATTCCCGCACGAGGCAGAAACAAATGGGCAAAGTTTCTTTCACCCTGAATGCCCGTTACCTAGCAGTAAATAGGTACCTGGGAGTTAGTCAGCTGTCACGGGCTGCTTCCTGGGGGTGGAGGCCTGGTTGAGGACCGGGCCGCGGGGACACTAAAAGCCCCGAAATCATCTCAAGATAATCTCAAGATAACCTCGGGGTGACCGAACGTCTGGCCAAGCCAACTGAAGGAGTCGGCATCGACCGTCCATTCCGTGGAGAGGGGAACGAAACGAGACAGGCCGTCGGCCAAGACGTTGAACACTCCCCGCACGTGAACTGCCAGGAGAGCCAAACCCCGAGAACTCAGTAGACAAGTCACCTGAAGCGACCAGCGCCAAAGACCAAGGACTGTATCGAACCCCCTCGGTTCAGACAATGAACGACCGGAGAGCAGTCCAAATGGAGCCAGATTGTTGATCTGAGGGTGACCCAAATCCTCCGAAGAGCAAACCACACCGCTATGAACTCCCGCACAGTGCTGTGGGCTCGATGGAAGGACGGACCCCACTGCCTCTGGCCGGCCTGGTGAGCTACTGGTCACAAAGCCCCATCTGAGACACGACACGTTCGTGAACACATCGAGTGAGGGCTCGGGTAGGCGCCAAGGCACTGAACCCTGAAAACCCCCAAGAGGAAACCGGCGACGCAGCAGCCGACGCAAGGCCCGCCAGGGTCCGAACCCAGTGATCGCGAGAGAGGCGGAAGGGACGTCCCCGAAGGAACCAGAACAACCGACGAAGCCAAACCCAACCTGGCGGGTAGACCATCATCGTGAAGTTCAGATTCCCACACAGACCCTCAAGCAACCGCTGGATGACCCAGGAGCCCCCAGAAACAGGTGCAAGCGGGACCGCCGCTGCAGGAGAGACTCCGGAGGGAGAGACAAGGAAGCGGTCCGAGAGTCCCACACAAGGCCCAGCCATGTTCGAACCTGGGAAGGAACCAGATGTGACTTCCTCCAGTTCACCAAGAACCCGAACTCGGCGAGCTGGGAAAGAACCAAATCCCTGGCTAGCAGACAACTGTACCAACAACTGGAGCCCATACCAGCCAGTCATTGAGGTAGGCCAACACCCAAGCATCTAAGAGACACAGACGGGCCACTATGACCTTCGTAAGGTGTGTAAACACACGAGGTGCCAGGTTCATCCTGAATGGGAGACAACGAAAGCGGTAACCCTGATGCGCCACAACAAACCCGAGCCAGTCCCTGAACCCCGGATGAATCTGGACGTGCCAATAAGCGTCTCGGAGGTCCAGGGACACCATCCAAGAGCCGGGCTCCAACAGGAGGCGAACCTGGGATAGCGTAGTCATCCGAAAGGAGAGGCAATGAACCCAGGGGTTCAGACGGGGCAAGTCCAAAATGAACCGCAGGTCTGCACAGGCCCATTTCAGCACTGGGAACAGATGGGAAACCCATCTGAAAGATGTCGTCGTTTCAACCACGACCAAGCGAACCCACTCCAAGATGACTCGACAGAGCGCTGGGGAAGAGGCTTGCCCCGCCAGCCCCGAACCTCCCGAAGGAGGAGGGGCGACCCAACGCTACCTCAGGCCGAGAGAAACCCGAAACGTCCACAAATCGTGAGACCAAGTGTGAGCGAACAGTGCAAGCCACCCCCCATCGCCCCGTCAATGGGGCAAACCGCGAAAGGGCTAACGCCCCTTACGAGACCCAGAACCTCGTACAGAATGAACACCGTGCCGACCAGACGAAGGTGGGTCCGTAGGTGGGTCCAAAGGTGGGTCCGAAGGCGGGGCCGAACCCGAACACCACACCTGTGGCCTACCATGATGAGAGGAACCCCGAGCCCTGGCACGACCCCTGCGGGTAGGCCTCCCCCCCAGACCCCTGGAGAACCAACAAGTCAGACTCTGTAGGACCCTCAAAAAATGACACAATGTAAGCCGCAAGGGCTGCCCGCACTGCAGAAGGTTGGATGCGAGAAGCTGAAAGCCTCCGGAAGGATGGAACCGACACACCTGGGGGGGGGGGGACACGGAACCAAACCCGAGGAGGGGCAGACACCAAATCCAATTCGTACGCAGAGGGGGGAAAAGACAACCCCACTCCTTGTAACAACAAGCCCTGTTCAGAGGGTAGAAAAACCCAGGTGGGGTCCAGCGGGGTCCAAGGCCCCCAAATCAGCCCCTCCCCTGCCCCGCGATCCTCCTCTGCAGGACCCAGGGCTTTGGCAGGGAGACTAGACTCGAATGCTTCTGATGCCACACCGGCAGGGGAATCCCCTGAGGCTGCCCGAGTCTCAGGACCAGCCCTGCTCCGGCTCTGAAACCCTCAGACGCTTCGGGGCCGGAAGCAGGGGTGAGGGGGACCAGAACAAACCACATGAGGGGAAGGACGAGGGGGGTCGGACTGAACCAAGGTCAAAGCGACCCCCACCCCCCAAGTCCAGGACCCTATAAGCAAAACGGGGCAGCCCTGGGGCATCCGGATGAGCAACCAACCGAGCGCGTTGCAACAACCTGTAACGAGCATGCAACGCCTGCGCTGCCTGTACCCGCCTAAGATCATCACTAGACTGGGTAAATTGAGTCACTAGCATGCAGTAGAACTCACAGGACTCAAGGTCAAAAGTGTCACAGACCCAACAGGCAGCATGACAGAGGCAAAAACAGTGAGGATCACCCTGAGATAAGGAGACCGAACAACCCTTGAACTCGCACGAAGCAAGTGGGAGGACTCCGGGGTCACATCCATCGGACCCAAGCGTCCCCTGGGGTTTCCCAGGGCCCTGAGCGCTTAACGAGACTCACACCCAGGTAACCCCAGACAGGGTACTGCTAACCGGTGCCCAAAACTACCAAGCAAACTCACCAAGGCTGAACCCCAGGGACGTGTACACTGATGGGGACCTAGCAGGTTGCACCACCAGAGAAGAACCATAAGAGGTCAAACACAAGTGGGCAATAAGCAGGGCAGATTCCCCTATAAGGAAAAAAGAAAAAGAAAACCCTGCAAGAGGACAGTGTACCCTAAAGGAACAGAGCTGGCCACTATAATTGGTGAAAACAAGCTGTGCAGCACCCCGAACCAGTGCAAACTGCCTCTTACCCTAAGGTAAACAAGGGAGACAAAACACCCAAGTACCCAAAGGACGGCCGAAAAACTGAGCAGTAAAACGGCCCAGCAGAAGCTGGGTCGTCGTGGGTCGAAGCAGGACCCAAGGAACTTGTGGAAGATAACCCCAAACTCCAAGGGCAGTACTTACAGGGCACCTAGGGAAGGGAACCCTAGGCGCATGCAGCCCGAGTACTGGAGAATGACTCCTGGCTTTCGCACCCCTAGAAGACAGCCACCACACACAGAGCACAGTGCTGAAAAAATGTCTGGAGCCAGAGCACACGACTGGAGCCTCTAGCATCAGCCTAAGAACTGACGGGTGGATAGCCAGCGTGGGGGGGTCTGGGGCTCCCCCCTTCCCCCTCCCGGGGAGGGGGGAGCTGTGCAGACAGCGGTGCGGCGACGTGTGACGTCATACTCATTTGCTCCTTTCTTTTAGGGGAGTTTCTATCCACTTGTACTGCTTTTGGTAGCAATATTTTCACCAGAATAGGGGTTTGTTTTGGGATGCTTACCTTTCTGGATGCCTGACCCAGTCGATGAGAGACATAGAATGCTTCCAACCACACGGGGGTTTCTATAGGCCATTGCTCCCCATGCCTCTGTGAGGGGGGCCAGGTTCTGACTCGTGATCCCTGGTAGGCCCACAGAACTCCATACACATGACTGATGCCAAAGTCTGACATTAGCATATCAGCCTAGTAAGCTACGGGAAGCCGAAGGGGCTCCCCCCAGAAAAGTGAACATATTCACAATTTTCTGTGCCACAACCAGCAATTTAGATTTCCATACACACTATAATTAAAAAATATACAAGTACAATAATTTAAAACAAACTCCAGCTTACCTTGATGTGGTTCTTCTTGAATGATGCTGTATATCTTCAAATCAATATTTCTTGAAAATTTGTGTAACCTAAACAACACTAAAATTACTGTAAAGTACACGAGCTTTGCAAAGTCAGTTTTGACTGCCAGATGCTGAAGCATCACTGGTTGAAGGTCCTTAGCTTGCTTGTGAGGTTTCAATAGTTGAAGGTCCTTGGCTTGCTTGTGAGGTTTCAATAGTTGAAGGTCCTTGGCTTGCTTGTGAAGTTTCAATGGTTAAAGGTCCTTGGCTTGCTTGTGAGGTTTCAATGGTTAAAGGTCCTTGGCTTGCTTGTGAGGTTTCAATGGTTAAAGGTCCTTGGCTTGCTTATGAGGTTTCAATGGTTAAAGGTCCTTGGCTTGCTTTTGAGGTTTCAGTGATTGAAGGTCCTTTGCTTGCTGTTTTTATCAAAGAATCGAGTTTTGCTTGCCTTCTGTGTTCACTGGCCTCTCTTTATGATTAGCTCTTTGGTTTGCCTCAAGTGTTGGTACATGTTTCCAACTTCTGGATTAACATAGTTTGACAAAAAATTAATTAACATGTTATCAGAAGACACCAGTAAACCATATTTGGTTGAAGATGGTGGTGTTAGCACACCCTTCTTCCTCTTAACACCTCCAGGATGATTACTGCTGCTACCGGAGTCTTTGGCAAAAAATGATCAAAGTTACTATGAAAACAAAAACCAGCGTTGAATGTAATAAAACGGCATTTCCTGAGTAAATCCCAGAGGCTCCATGAAGCTATCCAAACTGATATGTGGTATGTTAGTTTGGGGTCATCAGTAACAGTTCTTGTGCCAATCAAAAACCACGAGCCAGAACCTGGTCCCCTCAGAGAGGCACAGGGAGCAATGGCCTATGAGCACTTCACATTTAGAGTGTGTCATAATTGCCATCGACTGGGAAAGGACACAAAATGGTAGGCAAATCAAAACTGACCACTGTTGGGCACTATGGACACACTCCAGAAGAACTAACACTGAACATAACCTAATGTATTGTATAAACATGCCTGCAAAGTTCATCAGGAGAGTGGCATATAAAGAAGCCTGCATACCCTAATGCACCCCACATGTAATCAAACAGAATGCCTCATACTGGAAGATCTTGCAGAGTAGACACTTGTACGCCAACAGTAGTGAGACTCTCCACCCTCAGTGGCTTGGGACCAGATTCACAAAGTAGTTATGCAAGCACTTACGAACCTGTACATCTTTTCTCAATCTTTGGCAGCTTTGTTTACAATTATTAAACAGTTAATGAGTTCTGAAGTACCAGGAGGCTGTTCATAACAATAACAACAGTTGATTGGCAAGTTTTCATGCTTGTAAACCGTTTAACAAATGTAACCTAAGGCGTCAAAGATTGAGGAAAGATCTCGTCTCTCGACTGGGGTTTTGTGACCAGTGCTCACCAGGCTGGCCATAGTCAGTGGAGTTCGTTCTTTTCCTGGCGGTCCTTTCGGCACTTTGTCTTTTCGTAGGTTGTGTTTGATTTCTGATCAGTTTGTGTTGTCCTTTCTCTCTTTGTTTCAGGATCGTCACCTTATGCCAAATTCTGTTTCCTCATATCGTGCAGCACCGGCAGAGCCACTGCAGCTTGCATTTGGGGTGGATATCACTTCTGCTTTGTTCCACAAGCTTTCTTGGGTGTTGTTTCACCTCCAGCCTGCTCATGCCCCACCTGAGCAGTCCTGGTCGTTGCACCAGGTGCTCATTTCTCTTTTCTCCTCGGTTTGTGGTGGCCCCCTCAGTTCAAGACACTTCTTCTACGGATCATTTCCTTGTTGGCATTGGCCTCTGGGGGTCTGGGGGTTGGGCCAGAAAGATTTATGCTCTCCTCCGCCACAGGGGTTTCTGCTCTTTTGGTCCTGGTGGTCTTTTCTTCGGTTGCAGCCATCTCTTTCTTTTCTGGCAAAGAATGAGTCTGCTGCTTTCCGAAGGGATCCTTGGGTTGTTGATGCTTGGTTGGTTCGGCCGGGTGTGCATCATGTTTTGTGTCCGATTGTGGCTCTTCGCCGTTATTTGTACGCCATGGCCTCTGTGGCAGAAGACATGCTTTGGGTTGACCCAGTTTCCCTTCTTCCCTATTCCAGGGCGCGGTTCTCCTAGGTTGTCCACAGGATTATTCAGTCCAGCCAGCCTGCGGTCTATCCCTTTGCCCACGCCATTTGTAAGTTCGTGTCTTTCGCTGCTGTTTTGGTAATATGTCCTGGCCTATTTTTCGAGCACAGGGCTTGAATAGGGTCCTGGCTGCATGTTATTTTGTTAATGTTCCTAGTCCTTCTCGGGCGTGTATAGCCTTGGGTCGCAGGTTGCAGCCAGTTGTCTCGACTTCGAGTTGAGGAGCGAGTGACGACCGCCTCCTGGATGAGTCCCTTTTCTTCTTAGCTTTGGTTAGGTAGCTCTGGGGAACTGAAGGTGCTCTCCACAGGATACCAGCGTTGAATGTAATGAAACGCCATTTTCTGGTTGAAACCCAGAGGCTTCCCCGGCATCCCTCCCTCCCTCCCTCCTTCCGGTCGACATCTTTATGCGTTTTTAATACTCGGCGTCTGAACTGAGGAGAGTTGCCGGCGTGGAGGTCTGGGATCCCCCTCCCGGAAAGGAGGGATTGCGCAGACTGATGCATGGCGGTTGTGGTGACATCATGTTTGTTTCCTTGTTTTTGACTGGGAGTTCTGTTCGCTATTTCGGCTTTCGGTTTGCAATTTTTGACCAGCAGTAGTTTGTTTTGGAATTCCTACCTTTCTGGGTGCCTGACCTGGTAGATGGCAGACAAAGACTGCTTCCAATTACACAGGGGTGTCTTTAGGCCACTGCTCCTTGTGCCTCTCTTGAGGGTGCCAGGTTCTTGCTCTGGTCCCCGGTAGGCTTAGAACTCCTTCGATTGACTGTTGCCACAGTCTAACATATGTACACTTCAGCCCGGCATTGCCCCAGGGAGCCGAAGGGGCTCTCCACAGAAAAAGCATACTATACCTTTGTTTAGATAACAATGAACACTAGAACTAAAGGCAGCAAAGCAACATGAATCAAGTAAGAAAAAGAAAGAACAATATAATAAAATTGTTGAAACATTTAAAAGTTTTTATTAAACAGTATTGTAATAAATTCTAAAATGCCATCACCAAAGAAAGAAAGGAACTCAATAATTGGAAATAATTAAATATGTCAACATAAGCAAAGCGACTACGTATACTGTTGTCAAACCAATACCAGATTTCCATGCAAAAGAATTCAGCGAGCACTCGACAAATTATTTGCTACTATAGTACGTGCCAAAACTGCGCGTTGTACATCATTCTAAGTTTTTATTTGCCAGCCACCTTTAACTCACCAGCACAAAAAATCTACTGCTGCATTACAGATGAACACAACATGTGGAACTTACCCTTCATTCTTGCTGAAAATAACAAGAAGTGCTATCAATATGAGTGATACAAACTGACACCAATACTACTAACCCTGCTCAAAACTACCATCCTATGAATGAGAAACCCAATTTAAAGGTGATAGATTAACATAAGAATTCTAAATATCTACCTCCATTCAAAGGGCAATGATATATTTCATATTTTCAGCCATGAACATGCTGAAAATATGAATATATTTGCTAAGACATGATACATTTTCAAGAACAATAATTAAACACCTATCATTAACTACTTTTAAAGTAATCCTGTATATATCAAAGGATAACATGCTTTCTAACTACAATATTTTGTGTAACATAAAATATTACTTAAACAGTTTGATGCACTGGCTTCCTATGCACCACTTAACACTTAAATAATATTGTATTTATGCTTCTAAATATACTGTATATGTAAACAAAATGGCATTTCAATCATTATAAAGAAATGTAACGAGTGCTGAGAAGACCTAAAAGACCAAAAATGTAATGAAATGCCAATTCCTGGGCAAGCCCAGTGGGGAGAAGCCCAGTGTCTCATTGCCTGAAAACTTTGACAATGTTGAGGAATTTGGAGACTTGCCAGCACTTGGTACACACAATCGGATAAAGATGGTTCCCTGTGCTTTGAGGAGGATCAAGAAGACCCCTTCCTGGACAGCAGACATCACAGTAAGGCGAACAGACGAGAGGCGAACCGACACCACTACCATGAGGTAAACAATTGCCATCCTGGCCTCACGTGGTCTGATGACAAACATCCACTACACCAAGGTAGGCCAAATTCTCCTTGCTTGAAAATTTTTATCATTATATCATTTGGTGACCACACTACTATGGATAGGAGCGTTTTCGACAACAGCAGAACACAATATAATTTACAATGACGTTCCAAAAAATTTCAAGATTAAGGTGCATGACATTAGGCCAAACAAGTGAAAGAACTTAACTGCTGTGGACTACAATTCCCACAAGGAACTAGAGCTTTCTACCATTACTGAAATCTGGGGCTATAAGATAACTCACTCATAATTCACAAGGATGTACTAAGGATATCAGATGCAGACTCTGCTCTGGTGCCCATCCCACAAATTCATGTGAATCAGAAATACTTAAATGCTCAAATTGTGGTGAAGCCCACGACATTTGATCAAAACAATGCCCTTCATACATAGCTGCCAAGACACTCTCCAGCACAAACATGCAATACAGTAGCGTACTCAAACAACAAAGCACCGTCCTTAACCCTTAAACTACTCAGGATAAGGGGGCATAATTTGAAAAATATTCGGGTTGTGTAAAAATTACTTAAAAATGTTAAACAAATCTCTAACTTCTTGGTTTCAGCATCGTGAAATGTTCATCAAAATATTTTCAGAAATTGATTTTAGACGAATATTAAAAAAAAAACAGCGTTGAATGTAATGAAACGCCATTTTCTGGGTGAGCCCCAGAGGCTCCCTGGAGCTAATGTATGTTATATTAGACCGGGACATTAGCTAAGGAGTTCAGACCTACCAGGGACCAGCACCAGAACCTGGCCCCTTCAGAGAGGTTTCAGGGAGCAATGGCCCTGGAAAACCCCCTTGTGGTTGGGGTTTTCCTTATCTGCCATCAACCGGGGTTAGGCACCCAGAAAGGTAGGCATAACAAAACAAATCCCAAATGGTAAAAAACTAAACCAAAAAACCGAACAGAGGTAGAAACGCCCTACAATCCTAAGGAAAAAAGCATACAAGTAAACATCACACTTTACTGCCGCGCTGATCGTCTGCGCAGGCCTCCCCGCCCCGAGAGGGGGACGGGGAAGCCCCGGACCTCACCATGCCGGCTGCCTAGCATCAGTTCGGAAGCTAAGCTTCATCCAACGGTGAAAAAACCGCCGACCGGTGGGAGGGAGGGTTGCCAGGGAGCCTCCGGAGTTCACCCAGAAAATGGCATTTCATTACATTCAACACTGGTTTTCTGTGGGGAGCCCCTACGGCTCCCTGGAGCTTCATACCCAAAGAGAAGGAAAAGAAAGAGCTGACCTGGGAGGCGGCCGCCACAAACTCTGCAACGTGAAGCCCTGCAACCCAAGGCAACAAGAACGCACAGGAGCAGACACGCGAATAAGGACCGGGTGGCCAGGAACCTGTGCGACCCTCAAATCCTCGCACCTGAAACAAGCCCTAGGCGTCACCAACACAGCAGTGAAAGCTGCAAACGTCCGAACAGCACGGGCGCAAGGATAGACCGCAGGCTGGAAGACCTAAAAACTCTATGGACGACCTGAGAGACCCAAGCCCAGAAACAGGGAACGAGGGGAACCGGATCAACCCAAAGCACATTCCCAGAAACGGTACACAGGTTACCCGGGCTGCATGCGCTTAGGGCTAACTTCTGCAAGTGCCCTGTAAGTACTGCTCTTGAGCTTGGGGGTACCTTCCACAAGTCACCTTGGGTCTACTTCTGTTGGTCTTTCGCTGCAGCAATTCTGAAGTTAGAAAGCATAGCATAGGCTCCTCGCATAACGTTCTTTATGTGGTCCTCAGGTGATAGTTTTCTATCTAGAACCACCCCTTGATCTCTTTCTTTATCAGAATTCTTTAAAGATTTCTCACATAATTTATAGGTTGTGTGGGGTCTATGTTTTCCTATTCCACATTTCATAGCATGGCATTTATTCACATTAAATTCCATTTGCCAAGTGGTGCTCCATATACTTTTTTTGTCCAGGTCTTCTTGAAGGGCATGACAATCATGTAAATTTCTTATCCTTCCTATTATCTTACCATCAGTAAACATGTTCATATAATTCTGTATACCATCTGGTAGATCATTTATGTAGACAATGAACATCACCGGTGCAAGAACTGAACCCTGTGGTACTCCACATGTGACGTTTCTCCAGTCCGATACATTGCCTCTGATTACTGCCCTCATTTTTCTATCAGAATTTTTTTTATCCATGTTAGAAGTTTACCTGTCACCCCTCCAATATTTTTCCAGTTTCCAGAACAACCTCTTATGTGGAACTCTGTTGAAAGCCTTTTTTTAGGTCCATATATATGCAGTCAACCTAACAATCTCTTTCCTATAAAACCTCTGTGGCTCGAACATAGAAACTGAGTAAATTCGATATTTAGGATCTTCCAGATCGAAAACCATACTGTCTGATATATCATTTCTCTCCAGGTGTTCTACCCATTTAGTTTTTATTATTTTTTCCAATATTTTGACTATTACAAGTGTCAATGATACAGGTCTATAATTGAGGGGGTCTTCCCTACTGCCACTTTTGTAGACAAACTATTTTAGCCTTTTTCCACATATCTGCTACGACTCCTGTACACAGGAATGTCTGAAAAATCAGCTGAAGAGGAATGCTGAGCTCAGGTGCACATTCTCTCAGAACCCATGGTGAAACTCCATGGGTTCTGTAATTACCCAAGTGTAGTTACAGGATGAGAGCTACGCTCGTGGTGTCCCGTCTTCCCAGCACTCTGTCATATAACGCTTTGAAACTACTGACGGTCTTGGCCTCCACCACCTTCTCACCTAACTTGTTCCAACCGTCTACCACTCTGTTTGCGAAAGTGAATTTTCTTATATTTTTTCGGCATCTGTGTTTAGCTAGTTTAAATCTATGACCTCTTGTTCTTAAAGTTCCAGGTCTCAGGAAATCTTCCCTATCGATTTTATCAATTCCTGTTACTATTTTGTATGTAGTGATCATATCACCTCTTTTTCTTGTCTTCTAGTTTTGGCATATTTAATGCCTCTTAACCTCTCCTCGTAGCTCTTGCCCTTCAGTTCTGGTAGCTACTTAGAAGCGTGTCTTTGCACCTTTTCCAGTTTGTTGATGTGCTTCTTAAGATATGGGCACCACACAACCGCTGCATATTCTAGCTTTGGCCTAACAAAAGTCGTGAACAATTTCTTAAGTAAATCACCATCCATGTATTTAAAAGCAATTCTGAAGTTAGAAAGCATTGCATAGGCCCTCGCACAATATTCTTTATGTGGTCCTCAGGTGATAGTTTTCTATTTAGAACCACCCCTAGATCTCTTTCTTTATCAGAATTCTTTAAAGATTTCTCACATAATATATAGGTTGTGTGGGGTCTATGTTCTCCAATTCCACATTCCATAACATGGCATTTATTAACATTAAATTCCATTTGCCAAGTGGTGCTCCATATACTTATTTTGTCCAGGTCATCTTGAAGGGCATGACAATCATCTAAGTTTCTTATCCTTCCTATTATCTTAGCATCATCAGCAAACATGTTCATATAATTCTGTATACCAACTGGTAGATCATTTATGTAGACAATAAACATCACTGGTGCAAGAACTGAACCCTGTGGTACTCCACTTGTGACATTTCTCCACTGTGTATGTGTACCTGTGCAAATATTTTATATTGGCAAATAATGGTGACGATGTGCTTACCTTGAGCCTGCTTGAGTTGCTCCGTTGTCTGTTTTTTTGAAGAAGTATAATCATCCATTTTTTGTTGAAGTTTTTTCTCTCTCTCACAAGATGCTTTTAAATCTGCAGCCAATGTACTCATCTGGTTTAAAAGAAAACTCAGTAAGCTTGGCATTAACATTTGCTCACAAAAGCTTTAAGCATAGGGTGCTATATTATTTCTTACATGTCATTCTAATAATAACCTTATTCCTACTACCTGGGAATTTTGCCAGATTTGTAACAACCATTGTTACAAATTTGCTAGCCCCCTTAGGGGTGTTATGGTTATTATTTCAAGGGGTCACTTATTAATACTGTATGTATATATATTTTATAGGATGTCGGTTGAATAAAAGCAAGGCAGAACAACCAGAAACAGGTCAATTTAGTTGTGGGAACTCTAAACCACTAGTCCAAATACAGTGGTGGGAATCTACCACCAATCAGTGTCACCAACCCAGCATAACTGAGGCAAGGTCGGAACCTAGAAGAGGGGCAGTTTGATTCCACCTCCCGAGAAGTATCAATTCCATCTCTCGAGCAGTCTAAGGTAGCATCTCATCACTTGATAACCTGTGGTTAATATCAGCGCACAAATAGAGGATCTGTTTGCATCATTTGGTTGAAAGACAGTGGTGTGTCTACCCTACTGATAAACATTATTTGTCCATTCCTACATGGTGTGGAAAGTTTGTTATGAATTGCGGTGACCCAAAATTAGCCTGAAATATTTTAAGAAAAGATAGCGTGAACAGTAGAAATAGAATAGGAAATATCGACAACTTATAGCACCTAATACTTGTGTACAAATAAACATTGTAGTCATCATCTTTTTATGAAGTATACATAGGGGCATAGGTTTGTGTATATATATATTATTACAGTGATGGTTTTTACAACTAGATTATTTCATCCTAAACCAAGTTTAAATTCAGTCAGAGCCCATACTCACACGATATTCAAGGCCCAGCCATATTGTAGAAGTGTGTGACACAAGACAAATGGCCAGACTGGTAGTTTAAAACTCCCTGATAAATCTTCAGGTCTGTACTAGAGTTCATTCTATCAAGTAGGCATTTAGTCTGCACTCCTGATTAACATTTTAGTACTCGCCAAAGGGAGTGATCTAAGAATATAAATAATCAAACCAAATTAATTGAAAACAAATGGTACTTCTTAGAACAAATTTAAGCTTCCACAAATCATCCTAGGATCCCAGAAAACATCCTAGGCAAGGAGCTGAAGGATTAACTCATTATCTAGGCAGTTGTGTGGTTGAGAGGTTCTCAAGTGGTGTCCCAGATTCACACAAATACCGAGATCAACTACACAAGGTGGAAATTTACCATTATTTGAAAAAGCAGCATTGAATGTAATAAAACACCAATTTCTGGGTGAGCCCTGGTGATAAAGTGCCAAATTACAAGGTGTCATCAGTTGTGGAGTTCTTATTGGCCTACCAGGGACCACAAGCCAGAACTTGGCCCCCCTCAGAGAAGAACAGGGAGCACTAGGAAAAATGTTCAGTAAATTTATTTATGTCAGCCACAACCAAGGAAAGGCATCCAAAGTCTGCAAAAAAAACAGCGTTGAATGTACTGTAATGAAATACCATTTTTTGGGTGAGACCCGGAGGCGCCGGAGCTATACCGGGCTGATGTGTATATATCTGACCGTGGCAACAGTCAATCGAAGGAGTTCTAGGTCTACCGGGGAGCCTACTGGGGACCAGAGCTAGAACCTGGCCCCGTCAAGAGAGACACGAGGAGCAATGGCCTAAAGACACCCCGTGTAATTGGAAGCAGTCTTTGTCTGCCCTCTACCAGGTCAGGCACGCAGAGAGGTAGGAATTCCAAAGCAAACTACTGCTGATCAAATAAATTGCAACCTGAAAGCAGAACTAGCAACAGAACTCCCCAATCAAAACCAAGGAAACAAATATGACGTCACCACAAATGCCGCGCATCCGTCTGCGCAACCCCCCCCCCCCCTCCCCGAGAGGGGGACGGGATATTCCCAGACCTCCACGCCGGCAACTCTCCTCAATTCAGAGCCCGAGTATCAAAAATGCAAAAAAATGCCGACCGGAGGGAGAGGGGGATGCCGGGGAGCCTCCGGGTCTCACCCAGAAAATGGCGTTTCATTACATTCAACGCTGGTTTTCCGTGCAGAGCCCCTTTGGCCAGGACCGCCAGGAAATTTCATATTGCAGTCTAGACGAAACTCGCAGGTGGGACACCATCAACTAAGCCATCTGATCACCATACAAGTGGTGATACACCCACGTCAAAAAGACCAGACGCGAAGAGTGAAGGAGAAGAACCAGCCACGTAACTGACCGGACTGATCTTCTGAAAGAGGTGGAGCCGCGGGAAGACCCTTGGGTTTGGACATTGAGCAAGAAGCGCCTGAAACCAAGGCTGGCCCGGCCACCAAGGAGCCAACAGGACTATTCTCCCTTGGCAAGTCTCCAACCGAGCCATGATCCGGAGCAGCAACCGGACCGGAGGGAAGAGGTACAGGTAACTCTGCCTCAACCAGTCCAGCCGAAAGGCATCAACACCGACGGCCTCACAGTCTGGGAAGGGCACCACATAAACTGGACCTCTGGGCGCCCGTACGTCTGGCAGAGCCAACTGAACGAGTCGGCGTCGACCGTCCATTTCGTGGAAAGGGGAATGAACCAAGACAGGCCATCAGCCAGGACGTTTGACACTCCCTGAACATGAACCGCCAGGAGAGCCAAACCCCAAGAACTCAGCAGACGAGTCACCCGAAGCGACCAACCCCAAGTACCAAGAACCGCACCACACCCCCGCGGTTCAGGTAATGAACAACTGGGAAGCAGTCCAAATGGAGCCGGATTGTTGCTCCTTGAGCGACCCAGATCCTCTGAAGCGAATGCCACCCCGCTGCAAACTCCTGCGCCATGCTGTAAGCTTGGAAGGACGGACCCCACCGACCCTGGCCGGCCTGGTGAGCACTTGTCACAAACCCCCAGCTGAGAGACGAGGCATCCATGAACACATCAAACCCTAGCTCGATGTGTTCATGTATGCGCCACTGCACAGAACCCGGAAAAACCCGGCGACGCAGCAGCCGACGTAAGGCTCCCGGGATCCGAACCCATCGATCGCGAGACCGGCAGAAGGGACAACCCTTTAGAAACCAGAACATCTGCCAAAGCCAGATCCGACCCGATGGGTAGACCAACACGGCGAAGTTTAGGCTCCCGCACACCCGCTTAAACCACCGATGTGTGACCCAGGTGCCCTCCAAAAACAACCCGAGGCGGGACCGCAGCCGCAACAGCGTTGCAGGAGGGAGAGACAAGGAAGCGGTCCAAGAGTCCCACACCAGACCCAGCCAAGTCCGAACCCGAGAGGAAACCAAAAGAGACCTCCTCCAGATCACCATGAACCCAAACCCGGCGAGCTGGGAAAGAACCATATCCCTGGTAAGCAGACCCGCAGACTGGCTGGGAGCCCACACCAGCCAGTCGTCAAGGTAAGCAAGAACCTGAACCCCTAACAGAGCAAACTGGTCACCACAACCCAGTAAGGCATGTGAACACTCGAAGTGCCAGATTCATGCCAAATGGAAGGCAACAAAAGCAGTAAGCATGTCACCCCACGACAAAACTGAGCCAGTCACTGAACGCCGGATGAATCGGAAAAATTATAAAAATAATAACCCAGACAAGTCTGGGTTGAACTCATCCAGGGTTGGATGGGTTCAATCCATCCAGGAAGTCCCGATTCGGAACTGGAAACAGGCAGGGAAACACACCGACGAGAAGCAGTCGTTATGACCACACCCGAAGCTGCCCACCCCAGGATGACACGATGAAGACAAGGGGAGGAGGACTACTCCAAAAGATCTGAGCCCCCCTGAGGGAGATGGGGCTGGCCAATTCCACTACAGGCCACAAGAAACTATCCAAAAAGCTCATGAATCATGGGAGCAAATGTTGGCAAAACAAGTGAGCCTCCCCCCGCCACCTCTTCAAAGGAACGACCCATGAAAGAGCTAGCACAAACCACGTTAGCCAGCCTTCTGAATGGAGCGACCACAGCGCTGACCAGATGTAGGAGAAGTGGCTGCAGGAGGTTCATGCGACCCGCATCTGGCTCCAAAGATGACCTATCCTGACCAACAGCAGGTGACAAACTTGGCCTGACCAATCTGCTATGAGAGGCAACAATAACCCCCATGAACACACAAGTCAGAAGTAAGCTGATAATAGTGACCACAAAAGACAGGAACTGCAAAACAATGTCCACAAGAAAAAGGAACGAGGAAAAGGGAGAAGCGGAGATAAGAGCCCAGGCAGGGCCCACACCAAATCCAAGGACCAGGCCAGCACTGCCTGCCGATATGAGACACAGGAGCCAAAACACATGGCCACCACCTCCTGGAGGATTGGAGCATATAGCTTGAGGAGGGCCAGCAACGTAGAAGCAACAGTGACTAAAACCCCCCACAAGAGGAACCTCACCAAGTGCCCCAATATCCTTTGGGAGCCAATTACAATGAAGCTAGAGGAGGCACAGGATGATTTCAAGAGAGAACACTATGGAGAACTTGGCAAGTTCTTGAATAAATTTTATTAGAAAGGTATATTGTTAGGAAAGGAAGTAAAAGACAAAGGAAGTTTGACAAATTTTGTAAAATATATAATGAAGTACAGATATGCAAAATTAGGAAGCAGGATTGCTTCCTAGGCAACAAGAAACTTTCTAAGCAAAACATCAAAAAACCCACAAGAATGAGAGGGGATGATGAACCCGCTGGACTTTATCCGATATTCACCCAAAACGAGTTGGACATAAGGGAATTTAAGTTGGAAGCCCTCATAGGAATGAGTGACCACAGTCTACCGATATATGAATATTTGGTGGAATTAGGGGTAATCTATCCTCCAAAAAAGGACTAGAAGGCTAAGGGCTGGCATACCGAAAGGGGAACCTTGAGACGAGAAAATTCCTATTAGAAATACCATGGGAAACAAAACTTTGAATAAAGTCTGCACAAGGCATGATGAACTAAGTTACCCAAGTATCAGGAGGCAGCAAACATTTATTCCAGCTCAAAAGGAAA